TTTCTGAAGAAGGGTTTGGGCCCGAAACGTCAGCCTTCCTGCTCCTCTGATGCTGCTTGGCCTGCTGTGATCAAACCGAATACATCAGGTTTTGGAGATGGCGAGAAAACAAATAAGAAGCAAAGCAGGATTATGGCAAAAAAAAAGTCAGCCATTATAAGAGGGAAAGCTATGGAGCAGTAAAAGGGTGACAAAAGGAGGAATAGGGCTGATTAGGGACCAAAATGGGGGTTTAAATTCGAGGCAAGAGACATGGCTGAGATGTTAAATGAATTCTTTTCATCTGTCTTTATCCATTAAGCAGATACCATTCAGGCTTAAGTGACAGAAAAGAAAACTCTTCCACTAGAAGGACTCAAAATTAATAAGGAGATGGTGTTGGATAAGTTTTTGGCACTTGAAGCTGAGCAGGTGCCAAGACTGGATGAGATGCACTCAAGGATAGTGAAGGATGGTAAAGCTGAAATTATCTTTTAAACTTCCATGGATTTGAGGTGGTGCCAGAGGATTAGAGAATTGCAAACATTGTTCAAAAAAAGGTCATAAGATCAACCTAACAAATACAGGCCAGTCGGTTTAACTTTGGTGATAAAACCTTCCGGAAATAATGGATAATTCAGGATTGAATTATTCATCACAGAAAAATGTGGATTGTTTGGGAAGAGTTAGCACAGACTTGTTCAAGGAAAATCATGGTTAACTAACTTTCTGGAAAATTCTGAAGCAGTAAGGGAGACCGGTTATAACAGCAATGCTGTCGTTGTGTTATATGTGGACTTTGGAAAGGCATTCAATACAGTGCCATAAAATAGACACGCGAGCTAAGTTACAGGTCATCTGGAGTGTGGCAAGCAGGGGACAATTTCAAATTTTGCAAAGAACACAAAAAGCTTGAGAACTGTAAATAAAAATATTGAGATCCTTGACGCTGCAAAGTAGAGAGAATCAATTTTCCATTTAATAGTACTTATAAAGTTGTTTTGAGACATTGGATGAATACATACCTTTAATGTTGGGGATGACCCAACATGAGCAGGCGGTGGATTTCCTGCCCACCCATGTAGACGATAAATATGTCCAACACGAGAGCAAGGTACAAACAGCAACTTGCCTCCACACTGCCATATCTAGAGAGAAAAAGGGAAAATAAAGAGGGAAAAGACATTGTGTGTAGTGTAACATTCTTAAATTATATATAATTGTGGAGAAAAGTAATCCATTAATTATTCCAATCAAAAAGTCACCCAGATGATAGTTTCAGAATGGACTGCAATCCCCATAAGTAAAACCTTTCATAAATTCTTGAAGACTGTAATAAAACTACATTGGCACAAACTTCTATTGTCAAGTTCTGACATTTTATGACACAAGTGATGTCACTATGGCTTGTGTTTGTGTGGCGGGAGAGAGGGAGGTTTATGTAGGCTTACAAAGCTAAAGGATGTGGCAACATTATTGAAATAATGATACCCAGAGTGTAAGGAACAAGAGGAGTGTACAAACATAGGAAAAAAAAAAGTAAACAGCAAAGAGGGACAAAATGCCAAAAATGCACAATTATGAACAAACGAACAAGGCCTGCTCTACCACCAATAAAATCATGGCTGATCTGATTTTAATTTCAACTCTACATCCTTGCACATCCCAAGAATCTTTCATCCACTTGGTAATCAAGAATTTACCTACCTCTGCCTTAAAAATATTTAAATTCCAAAGGCTCTCAACTTTCAGAAAAAAATGTCATGAAATTCTGTCATTACTGTCTACAGTACTCCAGATGTAATCTTGCCAATGTCTTGTATAAATGAAGAATAATCCCCTTATTCTTGCATTCAATTCCCCTCACAATAAGCCATAACATTCTAATAGCTTTCTTGGCTACTTGCTGTACCTGCATATCACTTCACCTGATGAAGGGGCAACACTATGAAAGCTTGTGATTTCAAATAAACCTGTTGGACTATAACCTGGTGTCATCTGACTTCTGACCACCAACCTTCTGGACACCTAAATCTCTTTGCAATCTCTCGCCATTTGGAAAATATGCTTCTTTTTTATTCTTTCTGCCAAAGTGGCCAATTTCACAGTTTCCCACATTGCATTCCATTCGCCAGGTCTTTGCCTATCTATATCCCTCTGTAGACTCCTTACCTCCTCTTCTCTACCTATCTTGTGTTATCAGCAAATTTAGCTACCATACCTCTGATCTCTTCATCCAAATAATTTATATAAATTGTAAAGAATTGAGGCCCCAGCATCGATCCCTGTGGCACACCATTCATAACATCCTGCCAGCCTGAAAAGACTCACTTAATCCTAATCTCTGCATCCCATTAGCAAACCAATCTTCTATCCATACTAATACTACCCATTAACTTTTACTTCCACAATAACTTTCGATATGGAACATTCTGGAAATCTATATACAATGCATCCACTGGTTCGCTTGTGTCTACAGCACATTACTTCTTCAAAAGAACTCCGATAAGTTAATTAAACATGATTTCCTCTTGACAAAATTTAAATTTAATTTCTGATCATGATTTCCTTTTGACAAAATTTAATTTCATTTCATGCCTGATCCAAATGCCCTGTTATAACATCTTAATAGTAGCTTTTAACATTTTTCCTATGACAGATGCTAACCCAAATGGTCTATAGTTTCCCGCTTTCTGCCTCCTGCTTTTTTTGAATAAAGGACTTACATTAGCTATTTTCCAAACTCAAGGAACCTTCCTTGAATCTAATGAGTTTTGGAAAATTAAAACCAATGCATCAACTATTTAACTGGCTACTTCTTATAAGACCTTAGGATGAAATCCATCAACACCTGGAGTCATGTCAACTCTCAGTTCCAACAACTTAACTCAGTTCTACTTTCCTAGTAATTGTAATTTTTTTTTTTAAGAGTTCCTCCCTTCCTGTCAATACATTTACAGCTATTTCCTGGATGCTATTTGTCTCCTCACCAGTGCAGACTGACAAAATCTCTGTTCAATTCGTCTACCATTTCTTTATCCTCCATTATTTTTGAGGTTTATAAATTAATGGCACCCCGACTTCAATACCTTCAACAGAATAAATGAATTAAAGGCACAAACAGAGATTCTAGGGTATGATCATATACCCACTACAGACAAAAAGCTGGGAACTAAATGTTCAGGGGTGGTGACTTTTTGAAAGGACTTTTTAGGATGGAATAAATGCAATAGCAAGAAATGATCTTGGATCACAATATTCCAAATGTGGTCTGACCACAACCTTATAAAACCTCGGCAGTACAACTTGTGTTCTAACCCTATTGAAATGAATGCTAACATTGCATTTGTCTTCCTAACTGCTGACTGAACCTGCATGTTAACATTACAAGAATCGAGTCCGTTCATGCTTCAGATTCCTGAAGCCTTTCTCCATTTAGAAAATAGTCTACACCTCTATTCTTCCTACCAAAGTGCATAACCTTACACTTTCTCCTAGCCTGTCCAAGTCCTTCTTCAGCCTCGCCATTTCCTCAACATTACCTGTCCCTCCACCTATCTTTGTATCATCTGCAAACTTAGCAACAACGCCTTCAGTTCCGTCACCCAGATCATTAATGTATAATGTGAACAGATGTGGCATCAACACAGACCTAAATGGAACTCCACTGTCATCCTGAAAAAAACCCTTTTATTGCTACTGTCTACCTTCTGCCAGTCAACCAATGTTAGTATCTTGCCCATACCACCATGGGCTCATCTTATTTAGCAGCCTGCTGTGCGGTACCTTGTCAAGGCCTTCTGGAAATCCAAATAGATCATGTCCACCAGCTCTCCTTTATCTAACTTGCCCATTACCTCCTTACAAAGCATTCTAACAGATTTGTCAGGCATGACCTACCATTGACAACATTGTGCTGACTCCACCCTATTTTACCATGTACTTACAAGTACTCAAAAATCTCATCTTAATAATAGACTCTAAAATCTTAACAACTGAGGTCAGGATAACTGGCCTATAGTTACCAGTCTACTGTCTCCTTCCCTTCTTAAAAAAGGGTGTTACATTAACCATTTTCTAGTCCTCTATGTCCTTCCCTGACTCCAGTGATTCCTGAAATGTCACCACCAATGCCTCTACATCATCTGCAGCTATCTCCTTCAGAACTCTGTGGTGTAAACTATTTGGTCCAGCTGAGTTATTCCCCTTCAGACCTTTTGCTTCCCAGCACAGACTCTTTAGTGGTGGCCACTACACTCCCTTCTGTGCCCGGCCTCTCTTGAAGTTCTGATATGTTGCTGGTGTTTTCCACTATGCAATGGAGACAGTCCACAGAAGGTTCACTGGGTTGACACCAAGTATGGATTTCTTATGAGGAGTAGTTGAGTAGGTTGGGCTTATACTCACTGGAATCTATTAAAATGAATGATGACATTACAGAAACATAGAAGATTCTTTAAGACTTAACAGCACAGATGGAGGCAGGCTGTTTTCCCTCTGGAAGAGCAGTCTAAACCAAAAAGAGGGCTAAATTTCAGAGTATGCATTTGCATATCTAGGTCAGAGATAAGGGCAAATTTCATCTGAGGAATCTGTGGAATTCTTTACCACAGAGGGCTGTAGAGCTAAGTCATTAAATATATTTCAAGGCTGACAGACATATTTTTAAATCAGTAAAGTAATCTAGGGTTATGGGGAAACAACAGAAAAGTGGAGCTGAGCTTTATCAGATCTGCCATGATCTCATTGTACACTGAAGGAGACTCAATGGACTACTTCTTCTTCTCCAAAATCTCTAGTTTTATGGTCTTAAGACCTCTGACAATGATATTTCAGCAACAATGGTGCGCTCTTAGGAGAAATGAACTTATGAATTCAAGAATAATATCTCACAATCTATTATATTTCTTGTCCATTACCTTATAAGATATCTCGAAGTTTTCACCTCCCCAGATTTGAAGGCCAGGGTCATATAGCCCAAGTTCAAAGAAGTAATCTCGTTCAATAGCGAACAAACCCCCAGCCATAGCTGGGGACCTGGCAAAGTCATTGTTGGATAAATAGACAGCAAATTAGAATTTCCAGCAGTTGTAGGTTACTTCGGCATCTATTCTTTTCTGAAGTGCACATTTTAAAAACAAAATCAATGTAAAACCAATTTAAAGTTGCAATGCCCTTTTCCAAAGTAGAATGTTAATTTCAGGTCAATTTGCTAAATTATGATATAGCATACTGTTGTACGAGAGATATTAATTGATTTGAAAGTTAGGAACCATCGTTAAGTGTAAATAAATGCAACTATATTAAAAGAAAATGGATTTTTCACAAGGAGAATAAAATTTGTAAAAGGCCAAATAAATACACTTGAAGATTTTAATTAATGCCTAAACAAAAAACACAGAAAAAGGCAAGACAACTTAATGGCACACAAAATAAATAAATTGGAAAATGCTGGTAACTCAGAGTCTGTGGGAAAAACTGGCAATTTATTGCTTCAAATGTAACCTTTCGAGTATTTCCAGCATTTCCCATGCTTTTTTCAGTCAGTATGAGAATTTTTAAATTTAGCTTTTATTACCCAAGGTCTTTTACTGAAATAAAATTACAACCCAAGGTCTAAACGCAAACAAGCAAAGTAATGTGAAAGTCTAATGCAGAATCTGTGATCCAGTTAACAGGCAGAATTACCTTTGCCTTGATCTTGCCCTTTGGCTCCTCAAATTACCCCCACCCAACCCACCCTCAATGCAAAAATGTGTGTCTTATTAGGTGCAAGAGCAGGCAAGCCTGTGCTTTGTTTTGGTATGGTTACCCGTTTACTTTGATTTGACTGCAAATCTGGACCAGTTTGGTCTACAGTTGTCATTTTGTACATGTGCACTCCCAATTTTAATCATTCAAATCTATATCACCTTTACTTTCTCTTCCAAAGCACAGAACATAATATAAACTTCAAAATGTGCTTGTTTTCTTCTCCAACTCCCTCTAACTTCCAGTTGTTGTGACATCTTCACATTTCTTCAGTTACAATCAAGTTTTTTTTTTAATGTTGGACGATCTAATTGGAATATACGTCTGTCATTTGCTTTCAATTACTCTGGATTTCATCTCTGCTGCATGACTTTAATTCAGCATTTTCATTTGATCCAAGTCAAAGAATTAAGACGGCAGCATGAGTATGATTTTCTTTTAACTGTTATCCAATGTTAAAGGGAGTGATGATCCAGGTAACTGTCTTGAGCCAAGGGCAACTATTTTATGGTCTCCAGTAGCTATACACTTCCTCATTTTCTTTTTGAAAGAGAGCAAGCACCAGATTTATTTATATCACTGCAAATTACACCTAAAAACAAACTCTACTCAGTGCACCCCATAAACTCTTAAAATTGATCAACTGGAAAATTAGCATTTTTCTATCGCAAACATTGCGTTATTCACTTGTGCTGAATGGGAAAGGGACCTTGAGGGGAATTTTTACATCAGGGAAGGGGAAGAATTACCTGGATAGTGTGTTTGAAGAGGCAGTCACACCCATTAGATCAGCCACCTCGAATTCAGTCAGTGGTCAGGGACAGGAGGATGTGACTACGTGCGAGATAGGTAGAGAATTCCAGCAAGTAGTGCTACAGGACCCTCAGCCCTTGAGGTAGTCGAACAGGTTTGGGATTCTTGCTCCCTGTGGCAAATGGGGGCTGTACGGAGGATGAACAAACTAACTACAGCACCATTGTACAGGGAGTTATTCAAAAAGGGGGGAGAAAAGAGAAATGTAGTTGTAAATAGGGATAGTAAAGTCAAGAAACAGACACTGTTCTGTGCTCAGGACTGCCAGTCCCAAAGGCTGTGTTGCCTCCCTGGTAACTAGGTTGATGATCTCTCATCTGGACTACAGAGGAACTTGGAGTGGGAGGGGAAAGGTCTAGTGGCTGCGGTCCATGCAGGTACCAATGATACAAGTAGAAAGAGGAAAGAGTTTCTGAGTGAATGCGAGTAGCTAGGACTAAATTACAAAATTTAGCAGTATATTTTGCCTTTACAAAAGGCAATAATTTCTAGATTACTACCGGTGCCTCGAGCTAATTTGCACAGGGTCAACAAGATTAAAGAGGCAAATGCATGATTCAAAGACTGGTGTGGAAGATATGGGTTCAAATTCATTGGACATCGGCACCAGTACTGGGAATGGAGGAAGCTGTTTCAATGGGATAGGCTCCACCCGCAACATGCTGTTGCCAGATTCCTGGTGAATTGGATAACTCGGGCTGTAGGCAGGGCTTTGAAGTTAAAATAGTGGTGTGTGGGGGTTGTGGTGGGTTCATCTGCATGGAAAATTATGGAAACAGTTAAAGGGTGGGGGCAGGCGAGGGAGGGCTTAGCAGAGGTTATTAATGTTTCCTTAACAAGTAATACGGCGGAGAGTATAAAAAGGGTCAGGAATCTAACTTCAGGTGCAGCAGGTAAGGGGACAACTATGAGAAAGGAAAACATCAACACAGGACTGAGGGTATTGTACTTAAATGCACAAAGTATACAAAACAAGGCAAATGAGCTTGTAGTGCAAATTGAAAGTGGTGGCTATGATGGTGTGGGTATCACATAGGCATGGCTGCAAGGGAATCAGGGCTGGAAACTAAATATCCAAAGATATATGTACTGTTGAAAGGATCAGCAGAGGGGCAGAGCTGCCTTGTTAGTAAGAAATGAAATTGATAGCAAGAAGTGATCTCAAGCCAGAAGGTATTGATTCAATCTGAGTACAGCTGAGGAACTCTACCCAGATGGGAGTTATATACAGGTCTCCTAGCAGCAGTCAGGATGTGAGGCAGTAAATAAAATCAGAAGATAGAAAAAGGCTTGTAAGAAAGGCACTATTACAATAATCATGGGGGACTTTAATATGCAGGTGGATTGTGAAAGTCAGTTTGGTAAGCAAGAAAGTTCCCAAGAAAGTGAATTTGTGGAATATCTTCGATACTTTTTGGAGCAGCTTGTGGTAGAACCCACTAGGGAATTCTGGATTTGGTGATGTGAAGTGAGGCAGCCTTGATTAAACAGCACAAGGTGAAAGAATGCCTAGGGAAAAGTAACCATAATATGAAAGAATTCACTCTGCAATGTGAGAGGGAGAAGCTAGAATCAGCTGTAACAGTATTGCAATTGAGGAAAGTTAACCACAAAGACATGAGGGAGGGGCTGGCCAGAGTTGACTGGAAGGAGAATCTAGCAGGGAAGATGGTACAGCAACAATGGCAGGAGCTTCCGGGGTAATTTGGGAGGCACAGCAGAAATTCATGCCAAATGAAGCTGCCAAGAGTCACTGTGGATTATTTTTGTTGCTGCATTTAAGACAGAGATAGATAGGTTCTTGATTAGCAAGGGTCAAGGTTTACATGGAGAAGTCAGGAACATGGGGTGAGAAACATATCAGCAATGATCGAATGACGGAGCAGACTCGATTGACTGAATGGCCTAATTCTGCTCTTTTGTGTTATGGTCTTTAGCTCAGCTAAAGCAAGGAAAGTAAAACACAAGTTATAGTACTTGTAAGGACAAATCTTTAACCAGGTAGCTCCTCCCATTAAAATATCAATTAGTACTAGTAATTTTGATTTATAAGCATAATGCTGTAACATAATTTGCAAACTATAATTGCATAAACTTCTAATTAAGGTATTAAATATTACAGGCTATGTCCATGCAAAGCACACTTAAATGAATAATAAGGTCAGAGATTAAAAACAGCTTACAGAAGTGCTTTCTTGTTAAAATAAAAGAAGAGTCACATTAGGAATGCACCTCAAAACACAGAAACACATGGCAGCAGAACCCCATGCATAGTCACAGCTTTTCATTTGTTCATGTTGGCAGACCACCATAGTATGTTCAGGTAAGGTGGGTCCAAGATGATCAGAACAAGGAAAGTAGAACCACAGACTCAAACTAGGCTTTTTTTTTAAGGAGAGGGAGGATAGAAGAGAATCTCAAATCCATTACGGAAAACAGCGCAGTGAAAATCTAGGGGTATTAGAAAGGCAGAATCAGGTTAAAGCTCACTGCACTCACATAATTATATCCTTTTCTTCCGTCTACCATACCGTGCAGAGAATAAGATGCATTACAAAACATGTGAAACCACTACAATTATGGTACCTTTTTTTTAAAACCTCGTTTAGTAGGTTTCTGTGCTTAGAAATTTCCAATGAAAACTGAAAGTCTGCACCAAGCTTTTGGCTGTAGATGCTTACATATATTGGTCAGGCCACAGGACTGTCAATCAAATACTAGACCTTGCCATTCGATGCAAGGAGAATCATTTGTGGATTGACAGTGTTATACAATATCAACAATATATGTACTGTGCACTCAAAATAAGCATATTTGGTGAAGGTGTCAACAAGTACATATTACAACCAATCTCAAATTGCGTAGAGTGAAATTTCAGCTGCTGAAATTTGTTTTTTTTGAAAATATCTTTACAATGTAGCTGCTATAAATGGAAAGGCTGAGATGAGTGATTTGTTTCACTCAACATAAGAACAGTCTAAACAACACCTGGATATTAAAGGATATTACGTTACACATAACCACGATTACTTTAAATCAAAACTTTATATTTTCAAACAGAAGATGGCGATGCATCTTATTCTCTGTAAACAGGGTAAATCAGAGAGTATCTCACAACTTTTGTTGTGTAAAGATTGACCAATATTTAATGCTGAACACATCGACTAAAATGCCATTTTCACACTGTGACTCAAATTGTCCCTGCATCAAACTGTATTTGATACTATGCACACAATAATACAATCAAAAGAAATTAGAAACAGCAAGCTCCCAAAAACAGGGCTGACATAAATTCTTGGATTATGTGAAATAGCCAGGAAAATGCAAGCCAAAATTAAGGTAGCCTAACATGGAAAGTCCCAAAGCCAGAACCGAACTGGTCTTTTGGAGTCTTAGTGTTTCCGCCGAGATATTAGTCCACATTGCCACCTGAGAAGACACACATGCCACAACCTCCCTTGTAAAATTAATCCCAAAACTGTCAACTCTTGAAAGGAACGCTTCCTTGTAACTTGTATAAATATCCTTTTTATTTCTTTGTTCTGTTGTACACTATTAAATTAAAAGTTCTGACTTATCCTCTACATCTCTGTGCCTCAACCATATCTGTCCACAGTTCTTGACTCGACAACAAAAAGAATTCAAGTGCACCCTCAAAGATTCTATTCTGCAGTCTCTAGATGTTTTTTGCACATTTTAGTTTGACTACATCCATTCTGGTGTGTAGGCTCAAGAGTTATACGCTAAATAGATTGAAGAATTGTTCAGATTGGGCAAACTGTGCTGCTCTGTAGAATTTTGAAGGACAAGAGGTGACCTTATTGAAACCTCTCAAATACTTAAAAAGGGAGAAACGGGGTAGATGCAGTTGACAAGCTGTATTTCCTGGGGAGGGGGGGAAGAAGATCTAAAACCAGGGGGCACAATTTAAAAATAAATAAGGAGGGATGTCACTTCGGTCAGAGATGAGGAGACATTATTTTCCTCAGCAAGTTGTGAACTTTTGGTACATTCTCTACCACAGAGAATGTGGAAACTCAGTCTTTTAAGAAGATTTCTGATTACCAGCAGTGGGCAGGATTATAAGGATGGGGTGAGTAAAAGGCTTTGAAGGGTTTGATCAGACACGCTGAATGGCCAGGCAAGTTTGACGGAATGAATGGTTTACTCCTGTTCCTATGTTACTCTACAATACTCAAGATCCAAACTGAAAATTGGACTGTACAGTGGCAGAATATTCTCTTTTAATCCATACCTCTATCCATTTGGATATATGCATCCTTCCTAATGGTAACGAGACTATGTCTTGATAATTTGAGGGATTCAGCAACTAGGACTTCCAGAGTCTTTTTCCTGATTTGTTGCAACCTGTATCTTTCCATTAATCCAACACCACCTCTAGTGACTTGTGTCCTAACTGCACAACTCCTCAAGCTCAAAATACACCTGAGAATTATTCAACTTTATTTGCTCACAGTCCAAATCCATCAGCTTTTCTACCTCACTCTTCACAGTTGTGAAGCAATATGTGAAACTTTGAGATAAAGCCAGACAGTGTCTAAATCACTGCAACACACTCGTATCCCTAATTTCTAAAGACTGTTTCCCATTGTCCAAAATAACAAAATTAGTTTCAGTACATCAGGGTTAAATTTGCATCAATTGATTTTCTCCAATGATTTACCAATCCATTCCAATTACTCTCAACAGCAGCATTTTAACGGTGTCAAATGTGAAATTACATTGCAAAATTCATGAAAAAAATCATGGTTCGTTCATGGTGAATTATCAACCTTGAATTTGCTCTAGTTTCATGATTTTAATCCAAGGGAACAGGTTTGGGTATGGGAATTGATTTCTTCTGTCATTCAGGAAGGGGTTAAAGCTGTATTCCCAGCTCAGGTGCTTTATGAAATTTTACACTACTGTAATTCAAACCAATTTTCCACCTGAGTTCTTCTCGGGTTTTAGCAATGGAGAAATAATAGAAGCTTTTTGTTTACTTACCTAAACGTACTCATATGCGCATGTAATAAAAGGAGTGGCTTAAAGCTTCACCAGATGCCAAAATCTGGTGTGTTAAAAAATAACCCTGGCAACGTGATGATATGGTAAAGTTCATTTGCAAAGAGGAAATAGTTCTCAATAGCAAATACAAATTTCTCAGCTTTCCCCTTATGAAATGCATCTTTTTACAAGATATTCATCTTTGTGCATTTTGACAGAAATGTACAATTCGCTTGATACATTCCATACTACATTATTTCCTTCCCAATTGTGCTGCTGGGGGAAATTAAAAAGTGATTGCAGCCAAATGTGTGGGATTAGGACACTCCCTCTGCAATGAACACCAGCTCAGTGTACGAGTATGAGCTGTATTTTGGCAATTGCATTGTGCACTGAACTGGACATTCTGGTTTAGAGTATTACAAGCACAATCTTCACACAGAAACTGAAAAAGAAATATTGGTCGATCCTTACTTGGCACTCAGCACTTAAACTCTTAAATCATTTAAGTCATGAAGTTTAAAAATAAATGAAGTTTCTTGCACTTAAAGCTAGAAAAGAATTGACAATTTATGTGAGTGCAATCTTGTCATTTCATTGTGAACATGACTTTTCAGGTAAAGGAAAAAAGAAATATTACATAAAAACAGGGACAGAAACACAAATGGACATTAGCTGGATAGAGAATTAGTGCGCAGAATTTTTATATGTGGCAGTTATTAAATGTTCTAATGATTACCAATATGGTTCAGTTCTATGTTTTCTCCTTTCCTTCTCCCGCTTGGACAGAGGGACACGCTTCCACAGCATGCTCCAATCCCATGCTCCTCTAGCAAAACCATCTTCGTCACCACCCCCTTGTGGTGATATCTCGTAAGTATTTCCATTTATGGCATCTATGAGTGGGACAGTACATGTGGTTCTGCAGCAATATCGTTGGTGGAGGCGGAAAGGGTAGGTGCAAGGATCCATGCGTCAATATTTTACAGGAATTAGGGTCAAGGATGCAGCAGGATACATGGGAGAAATAGAAAAATTATAGGACTTAGAGATACATTGAGAAACAATAAATAAATTCAACTGTGATTACCGATAAGGCTCAGTTTTATGCATTCTTCTGGCCTTTTCACGACTGTTTAACGGTACACGCTTCCACAGCAAGCTCCAATCCCAGGCCCCTCTGGCAAAACCATCCTCATCCCCACCTTGCTGTGGTTCAATGGTAAAGTCATTACCATCTATATAATCTATAAGGGGAACTGTGCATGAAGTTCTGAAACAAACATTTAAGAACACAATCGATACCAAAAGTACAGGTTACCATCTGAACTTTCACATTTAACGATTAGGTGCAAAGTGCACCAAAGCCTGAGCAAAATAAACTACAAGTGACATTTTATTAAAAAAAAACTTTAAAAGATGCAATTTTACTATTCAATTATTCTGTTGGTGTTTCAGATCTGCTGCCTGAAATAGTAATCTAAAGTTGCTTTTTGTCAAGAGTCACTTCAGATCATTCACCTAGATTACTTTTACGTGATAATATTCAAGTGTGGCATCATTGCTGGTATGTCAAAAGGGGCGATTCTGGCACCTCCGCTGAGATTGGCCAATCCAGTAAACACCTGAAGGAACTGGAACCTTTAGATCTGCAAGGTTTGGTGGTGCATTTGTTGCTTAAGCTATTAATGGCCTGACACACCATAGCTTTTATGCATAGGACACGCTTTGATCTTCTGGTCAGGTTTTAATCTGTTTGTAATTAAAATCATAAAAAAGGTACCTTGAGAGTAATTTATTATTTACATTCATTCTAAAAGATGCAAAGATTTCATATGTAAAAAGTGTACATATACAAAAACAAAATGCACCTTCAACAACTCTTTCAAAATAGTACTTAAAGTGACACATGGAAAATAAAGATTCATTCAAACATTTCAAATTTGCTGAGGGGCAGATTTTGATTAACACTTAAAAGGGCATATTACTGCATTTCTCACGATCTTGTAGTAACTCAAAATGATAACTAAGGAATGTGGTAAGGTCAGCACTATGTAAACAAATTTCTTCAGTTATCTTAACAACAAATATAGTTGAATAACATTAACACTGCATCATCCATGCAATTCAGAACTATTGCAGAAGACATTTTAAAAATCATTACCAAGGTGTGTGGTCAGAATAGGAAATTTAGACTTTTGGTGACTGGAAACCAATATTTTAATTTCAGCACAATGGTGAAAATGCCATAATGATTTCACAGCAGCTACTGAGTTTTCAAGGACAGTTACTTTTATCTCAAATCTATGGCAAACTTAGAGTCTTTATGCTATACAGTGTGGATGTACAATGGTGGAAAAGGAGGGAGGTCAAATCTATTACTGCTTTTCCTTGGGGGAAAAAAGTGGAAAACAAAACTGAATTTGATCAACAACGAGAGTACTAAGTGAGGACATCAGTGTAATGCAAAAAGCAGAGAAACTCTAGCACTGGAATTTTAGAGGAAGCCTTCAGTAAAAGGATGTTGGATCTTTGCAGGATTTTGATCATTATAAAAATAGGTAGGTTACTTTCGTCATGACAGAAATTTAAACTCAGCCATTTTTTGACCCCTCTGTTCAAAATAGACATGGATTAAGTGAATATCTTCTACACAATGCTCTGTTTTCTATGTTTTCTAATTCTGAAGCAGCACCAACCCTTACAGAAGAGGAAAGCAGAACAAATGTGCTGTTGTTTGCATGACTACTACACAGACAACAAACTTTCATTTGGGAAAGGAATTCATTCGGCTTTAAACATGGTGATGTTACACTGAACTGCAGGGTCAGGAAGGTATCTCTAGGGCCCTGGGTTTCTCCTTTTTCCCAGTATCCTCTTCTTTAAAAATTCTCCTCATAGCCTTTGGATGCCCAGAATTAAGCACCATTGTCACAGTGGGGTCGAACTGTTAGAATCAGGCAAAACTTCTTGGCTTTTGTACTCTGCATGTGTGCGTCCCATTTACTCTCTCACGTGCTCTCATTCTCAGAGGTGAAACCACGCTGGTTAGGGACCAACAGGTCAGGAAGGGAAAGGGTCTCAAGGGGCTCCAAGCATGTCTGAAGACGAGTGAAGAAAGCAGGACCCTACAAGGCCTAAAATGAACAGAGCTTGAGTCAGTAAGAAAGGAGCACCTAGGGCATATGTCTGCCTCCTACTTGGTCACTGAATGCAGTTGATCAGAGAAACTGAAGTCATGGTCAAATAACATGTCATTCACAATAGTCTATGCATCAGATTGGCTGCTTAGGATATTGACCGTCCAGATTGACAGGCTACTGGGCTAATCAGCTTGGGCCCCTCTACGGGTGATTAGCACCATATGCCCTATTCCCCTTTTTCAAGACCTTTTTGAACAATGGTCTGAAAGTTGAGAACGCACTTCTGACGTGAGTCTTCGTGAATAGCAGACCAGCGAGTTACTTTTAAAGTATATACCAAGGGATCCAGAAGTTTAAACAAAAAACAATGTTGGCAACTACGAAGATCTAATCAAAAGACAGGCCACAAAATGATGGTCTATCCGGCTTTCGTCGAACAAGGCTAAGGTTACAATTCCTGTGGGTGGAACTAATCTTTTGACACAGGACTATTTTTGATATCTATCATTACTGGTTTTAAACCCAATTCTATCTGTCCATTCAGGTTAATGTTAAGAAGTCTCAATGCATTGTTCAAAAAGGGCAAGGATTTCAATCAGTGTCCCACTGGACATTTCTCCTGTTGGTATTTGGCTGGTAGTTGGCAGCCATGCTTGCTAAACGCACTCTAAATTTACAGAATCACTGAAATGCTATGGCAAAGGAGGAGGCCATTTGTCCCATCATGCTTGCACCAGCTCGTTAATTGAGTACCATTAAGCAATCTCCTGCTTTTCCCCATATTAACCATATGAAGGGCTTTGAGCTGCTGAAGACATGACAAAACAATCCAAAAGTGTGAACATTTGAAGGACATTTTTACAAAAGCTGAAACAGACTGGAGTCCATAGGAGGCATTTTTATTCTGTAGGCCAAAAAAACCCACCTACACTACATGTACACGCACTACAAACAGAGCTTTTCTACATACAGACCAGCTGCTGCGTTGAGTAACAAACAAACGAATGTTGAAGGCACTTCCATCATTTTAGTCACAATGCATGTGTGATGCTCTATAACACCTGTAACAAATGAATAAATATTCAAACCATCCAGGAGATTGTCTGCTATCATTTTAATTAGCAGGCATGTTGTATAATGACTTACACATTTTGTGTAAATGGGAGTACATTCTGAAACATGCTTGTTCTTGTGATACTGGCAAGGCCAGCATTTATTGGCCAACACTAAGTGCCCTTGTGAAGATGGTGGTGAACTGCCTTCATCAGCACAGCAGTCGTTTCCGTTCACTCGTGACAGCTGAACACATTGCTGGCAAAATCAGCATTTATTATCCTCGTCACCAGTAATGACCTACTAGTCTTCCAGTTTGTTCATTCTCCCTGATATGGCCTCCACCTTTGCTCCATTAGGTCCACTATGGCTGCAGGTTTGAACTCACCTGGCATACTTTAGGTTTTCATGGTCAGATCTTCTGGACCACATTATTGCTGCTGGATCCTACATTCCTCTGCTAATATTGTTTATAACTCCAGGGTCATTCTGGATTATGAAGCCAATCATTCACTGGTTTTCACTGTTACTCACCACCTTCTTAAAACCAACTCCTTGTCCCTTCAATCCTCATCTTCAATGGCATAATGTGAAGCATTATCTTATGTAAATAAGATGCAGTGGCCACATCGATTACGTCAGGGTTCTCAGTTATAATAAAGTAACATAGCATTTGTTAAGGGATGAATGCTGGCCAGGACACTGGGAGAACTCCTTATTTTTCTTCCACTAGCGCGCTGGGATCTTTAGTGTTCGCCTGAACAGTTTACTGCCTTTTCACTTTTCATATTGTTGGTTATCTCCCCTTTCATCTGTTACACAATTTAATTTCTCCAATACTGTCTTTCATAAAAAATCTTTATGCTTTCACTGCACAGCGCTCCTAGTGTCAGTGCTGATTTAGGAGTCATTAACATGAAGTGTATTTGCTCACAGTTTTCATTGATTTAATTGTAGCAAGGCACGAATGACATCTTAATTCCCAAAATTAATACAAAACTCTAGTCAGACTCTGGGAGTTGCATTGCTGACCACCTTGTCCAGAGATGGCACATATTGCAAATGTGACCCTAGGCTGTTTAACAAAATTAAACATTCATCACTATTTCAGTGATCACAGGGATCAGTTGAGGTAGAACTCACTTACCTGAGCAAGAAATAAGTAAAATATGCACTCTAATGCTGTTGTGACGCTTTGGAGTTGAGACAGGGCAAGAGAGGAGAGGATCCTGTTATGACCCCATTTGAATAACTAAATAACAATCCTGAAGTTAGTTATGGTGTGTTAAAAGTTAAAAAAAGTGGTTCCACCATCATTTACAGTCCCCTTCCTGAATGGAGTTGAAATAAAACAGCTTGCCTTACCTGTTCGCAGCAATTGGAGCTATCAGCGGCGCATACCAGTTTGGTCCAACTTCACAATGAGCATCAAGATATATCAGTACCTAAAAAAAAAAGGAACAAATATCTCATTGAATCAACACCATAACTAAGCATTGATTAGAGTATACTGAGTATTAGTTAATTAATACTAAGTAGAAATAAGATTCGCCATAAAAGTGTCCACAGTAAATGTGTGAGAAAACAAAAGAAAATTGAAGAATGACCAAAGGCTATTCAGGTCCATTTTTTTTAAAAAAGATAATCATCAGGATTGCCTTTATGTCATTTTTTGAATATATGCATTGCTGAGTCCCCATAAGCAGCAAAAAAACACAAAAACACCAATGACAAAAGACTGACATACACACTTCTAGGAATTCACAATTTCCTGGTGGTCATGGTGGTACACATGTGCAAACAAATTGTGAAGTGAAAAAGCGAAGACAAAGTGGTTGCAGATCTGTCGAAAACGTGCATAAACTACAATGTTAAGACACACTATTTAGCCCTGCCAGTTTATGTCACTGTTTATTGCCCACTTTTTTAAAAAAAAACTTAATTTTCCAATGCTCCTTCCGTAGTCCTTCAATTACTTTTCCTTCATACAACTTTCTGAACCAATTCAGAATTCGTTAATATTTATTCGATAAAAAAAATAAGCCATTTGATCAAACAGATCCATGCTCGTGTTAATTCTTTCAACCTTCTTAATTTAATGCCACCTTCAAATCATTCACTTCTTTCTGCGTACTGTGGCTTCCTTGTAAATAACATAAAGGCCATTTCTTTTTTTAAATTTACTATGGATTAAAAATTAGGAGGAGACACTGCTTTAAATCAAAAAAATGGGAAGATGATGCTAAATGATTCCACAGTGGCTGGTATTTGGTCACCAAGTCACCATATATTCACATGCAGAGAGTCCTTGATACTGATCCAGCTTCCTCAGAGCCAGCTCTCAGAGTGAATAGTATCTCTGATACTCCTGTTTATCTTTTTTTTCTTTATTCATTCATGGGATGAGGGCGTCGCTGGCTAGGCAGCATTTATTGCCCATCCCTAATTGCCCCGAGGGCAGTTGAAAGTCAACCACATTGCTGTGGGTCTGGAGTCACACGTAGGCCAGATCTGGTAAGGATGGCAGTTTCCTTCCTTAAAGGACATTAGGGAACCAGATGGGTTTTTCTGACAATTGACAATGGATTCACAGTCATCTTTAGATTCTTATATCTGTCAGCCAGGGGTCCCTGATTAGATAACAGCCCCAGTCAGGTAACTATTATTCTAGGAGGTCCACCAGGCTGACATCGTTACAATCACTACATCCCTCCCCCTCGGAGTCTGAGGACATAGGCCAGTTATTTTTTTGTAGCTCCTCCTGGGGCATTTTAGCAGAGTCAGGTTCGTCCAACTCTGCTTTTGATACAGGGGGCGAGTAACACACAGTAGCTTGCCTCTTGAGCCTGCAGCATCTCAGAAGAAACTCATTCTCCTCTTCAGGTGGCAAAAGCATCGAGGTGGCAGCGTCCGCCGTGTAGATCTCAGATTCCGAGGTATCTTCAACGCCTGACGGACAGGGAGAGCCCACGGGCTCCAGAACAGTTGGAAAGGCAGTCAAGGAGCCGGGCATGTTTTGCCCCCACATCGTTTGCAAGTTTGCCACTTTCATACGGTCCACGTGCTTGCTCACAACTGTCGTATCAACCACAACTTGATATGTCACTGCACCGGACCTTGTATTGACCATGCCTCTTACTCATGCAGGACCATTCCTGGGATACCTACACCAGACTTCATCCCCTAAAGTAAACTGTCTCCCTTGCTTAGCGGAGTTTTATGTCCATCATTAATGTTTGTGTCCAGCTTTAATGTTCCTGATGCTGTTTCATCCCCACCATCCCCATAGGCCATGGTGACTCTGTCACTAGAAGGGTTAAAAATTAATAAAGAAAATGTCTTGGATAGACTGTTGGCATTTAGAGTTGACAAGGCATCAAAACCAGATGAGATATATCCAAGGATTTTGAAGGAAGTGAGGGGAGAAATTAGGGAGGCACTGGTCATAATTTTTCAGTCTTTCTTAGACTCGGTGAAGGTGACAGAAACTGGACATTGGCAGAACATTATAGCCTGATTCAAGAAAGGTTGTGAGGATCTTCCCAGCATTATATACTAGTTAATTTAACCAGTGGTGGGGAACTTGAGAAAAATTATTCAGTATAGAATTAGTAGTCACATGGAATAGGTTGAGTTGATTAGGAAGAGTCAACATGGATTTTTAACTAACTTGCTGGAGTTTTCTGAAGAGGTAATAAAAAAAACTCCACGAGGGTGACACTGTTGGATGTGGTAGACATGGATTTCCAAAAAGCTATACAATAAATTTGTGAGAAATGTTATCAGTCATGGCATAGTAGCAACGAGGATACAAAATTGGCTCAGAGATAGGATGAGGCAATGGCCTAATGGTATTATAATCCAGCACCCCAGGTAGTAATCTGGGAACCTGGGTTTGAATCCTGCAACGGTAGATGGTGGAATTTGAATTCAATAAATGTCTGGAAGTAAGAGTCTGATAGTGATTGTGAATCCATTGTCAATTCTTTTGGAAAAGTCCATCTGGTTCACTAATGTCCCCTTTAGGGAAATAAACTGCCAGCCTTACCTGGTCTAGCTCACCATGTAATTCCAGACCCACAGCAATGTGACTGATTCTTAACTGCACTCTGGGCAATAATGAATGGGCAATAAATGCATACCTAGCCAACAATGCCCACACCCTGTGAATGAAATTTTTTTTTAAAAGGCAACAGTAATGGACAATTAATATTTTTCAGGCTGGAGGAAGGTTTGCAGTAGAGTTCCTCAGGGTATTGGGACTCTTGCTTTTCCTAATAGATATTAATGATCTAGATTTTGGTGTGCAGGGAACAATTTCCAAGTTTGCTTATGTCAATAATCTTGGAAGAATTGTAAACTGTGAGGAGGCAAATGTGGAACTCTAGAAGGACATAGACAGGTTGGTGGAGTAGGCGGACACGTGACAGATGAGTTTCAATGTAGAGAAGTAAGCGCTGATGCAGTTTTGTTGGAAAAATATTGAAAGGCAATATAAAAGAAGGGGTATAATTCTAAAGGGGCTGCAGGAGCAGAAGGACCTGGTGTATATGTGCACAGAATTGGAGAGAGCAGTAAATAAAGCAGTGTCCTCAGCTTTATTAATAGGAGCACAGAGTACAAGAGCAAGGAGGTGATGTTAGATCTCAGCTGGAGTATTGTGTACAGTTGTGGGCACCACATAATAGGAAAGATATGAACGCACCGGCAAGAGTGCATAAGTGATTTACAAGAATGAAATTTCTCGTTTCGGGAACCAATTATAAAGGATAGATTGAAGATGTTGGGACTGTTCTCCTTGGAGAGAGAGCGAGAGAGAGCGAGCGAGCGCGAGCGACTGTTCCCATTCATAAACAAAAAAAGAACAGGTGGGAATATGTTTGAAGTGATGTGCAAACGAAGTAGAGATGATTTGAGATAAAAACTCACACAGTGAGCAGTTGGGGGTATGAAATGTACATGTTGTGGATCCAGGTTCATTTTTGAGGCATTCAAGACGGCATCGGATAATTATTTGGAAGAAAAGTTGTACAGGGATATGGGAAAAAGGCAGGAGACCATTATTGGGTCACAGAACTGGTGCAGGCATAATGTGCTGAATGGCCTGCTTCTCTGTCACAACAATTCAGTGATCTTCTAATTTTTCCTGTATTTTTAATTGTGGACTGAAATGGGGAAAAAAATAAACATTAAAAAGTAAGATTGTGGAAAGGATTGCTACACTTTTCAAAAGCAAGACAGCAGCACTTCTAAGTGTTATTTTTACTGTTGTCTGTTCAAATTGCAGGAAATTTTGTTGCAGACAAATTGGCATCGTGGGTGTATAAAAGGTCAGATTTGGCCAGCACCAAATAGCTGATTGATAACTGATAGCAACTCCAGAAACCAAATGACAAAGGGATTGCCGTAAGGCCTGAGAGTTTAACCTTGGTGGTTAGGCAATTATTGGATTCAATTCTGAAGCCCAGAATTAATCTGGAGAGGCATCTGGATTGGCAGGGATTAATCAACAGTCAGCAGGGTTTTGTTAAGAGAAGATCATGTCTGATCAACTTGGTTGAATTTTTTAAAGAGGTGACCAAGTGTTTAGATGAGGGCAATGCTCTTGGTATAGTCTATCTGGACTTCAGCAATGCTTTTGATTAGGTTCCTCAGGGCAGACTGATGGCAAAAGTAAGATCCATGGAATACAAGGAACTTTGGCAAATTGTATCCACAATTGGCTGAGTGGCAAGAAGCAGAGGTTGAGAGGGGTTTTTCTGACTGGAAGTCTTTGTCCAGTGGAGTCCCATAGGGGTTGGTGTTTCAACCCTTGCTGTTTGTGATTTACCCAGATAATTTAGACTTGAATTTAGGAGGGTTGATCAGCAAATTTGCAGATGATAATTTATGGGGATTGCCATGGACTACAGGAGGATGTGCAGGTTGATCAATTGCAAATGGAATTTAATCCAGATAAATACGAGGTGAGGGAAGGACAAACAATGCAAGAGAATACATGAAGAATGGCAAGACCCTGCAAAATACAGAGGATCAGAGTGACTTTGTTGTGTGCAATTATACCAGTCCTTTAAGGTATCAGGACAGGTAGATAAAATGGTTAAGAAAGAATATGGGATACTTGCCTTTATCAGAGGTATAGCTTTTAAGAGCAGGGCGATTATGTTGGAACTATATAAAATGTTAATTAGGTTGTAATTAGGAGTATGGTGTGCAGTTCTGGAATCCACATTCTAGGAAGGATCCGACATCACTCAACAGGGTGCAGAGGAGATTTACCACAATGTTGCCCAGGCTGGAGAGTTTTAACGATGAGGAGAGATGGGACAAACGAGGGTTGGTTTCTTTATAACAAAGGAGATTCAGAGGGGACACGATTGAAATGTATAAAATTATGAGGGGCATGCATAGGGTAGACAGGAAGAAACTTTCCTCTTAGTTAAGGGATCAATGACCAGAGAACATAGACTTAAGGTAAAGGGCAGAAAATTTCGAGGAGGCGATGTGAAGAAAAACTTTTTCACCCAAAGGGTGGTGGTAATCTGGCACTCACTGCCTGCAAGGGTGGTAGAGGCAGAAACCCTCATAACATTTTAGTGGCATTTAGATGTGCACTTGTGATGCCAAGGCACACAGGTTTAAAGGGCCAAATACTGGAAAATGGGATTAGAATATTTAGGTGATTATTTTTGATTGGCATGGATGCAATAGGCCGTGGGGCCTTTTCCAGCACTGTAAATCTCCAAGATTCTATGACAAAGGCCTTCTGCCTACCAACAGCAACAAGAAGGGTCTGAGGAAAGGTCACTCGATCCGAAACATTAACTCTGGTTTCTCTCCACAGATGCTGCCAGACCTGCTGAGCTTTTCCAGTAATTATTGATTTTGTAGTGCCAATATTCAGGTTGTTTTCAGAATTTTCAAAGAATCATAGAATCCCTATGTTATGGAAACAGGCCATTCGGCCCAAGAAGTCCACACCACCCCTCCAAAGAGCATCCCACCCAGACCCATTCCCCTACCCCTGTATTTCCCATGTCTAACCCACCCAACCTAAACATCCCTGGGTACTATGGGCAATTTAGCCTGGCTAATCAACCTACCCTGCACATCTTTGGACTGTGGGAGGAAACCAGAGTACCCAGAGGAAACCCACGCAGACATGGGGAGAATGTGCAAACTCCACACAGACAGACAGTCGCCCGAGGATGGAATCGAACCCGGGTCCCTGGTGCTGTGAGGCAGTCGTGCATAACAACTGAGCCACCGTGCCGCCCAAAAATTAGTCAGCAGTGCTGTGGTCATGAAAATCTAGCAAAAGACAACTTGAGTTCCCTGACCGGGAATTTTGGCATGCTTCTACCTGATCTGTAGGCAGAAGGTGAGCAAATATGTCAGATGTCTACCCAGCTATAGGCAAAGACTTACTCTTCCATGAAAAGGGCATAAATCCTCACAGTGCTCTTGCTCAACTATTTTTGTGTTGTTCAATGTTTTCTGGAAATGCTTTTGAGTTATATGCATTACTACTGCTAATTTGAAATACGCTCCCTTCCAGTGAAAGGGCCAAAGATGCCTTTGCAAAGCGTAACATTTCAACAAAAAGGGAAGATCACTTTACTAAAGTGAAGGCATATATCATGATTTTGAGAATTCCTCAAACATCACCATTCAGTGATTCTCCTGTCACCAGCAGACAAATTGCTACTAACATACTGATTTTGAACGAATAAGATTCCAAATTTTACTCTACCTGGCCGAGGGTTGCTTTATGAGCACCAATACTTCTTGCTTGAATTAATCCTTCTCTTCTTTCATTTCGAAATACCTTGACTAACCCATTCCACTGTTTCAAATATTGTTCCAATCTCTCCTTTAAATGAGCTGGTGACAAGTCAGCAGAGAACAAAAATCAGCAATGTTGTTAAAATTGCTTGGAGCCAGGACATTCTCAACAGCACTTAAAATAAAAGTCAGAGTTTAAAGCATATCTCAATGCACACAGCCATCAAGATTTTTCTGTCTGTCATTTGCTGGAGCTAAATCATTTCTTTAAATACGGACTAGACGTGGAATCATGCCAATTGCTTAAAGAACTGAAGTTGTAGGGGCAAAACAAGGTCCATCTCCCATCAGTTTCTTGTTGAGTGATCTATCTGCCATCCATTCTAACCATATTATGTCAGAAATGATCTAAAAGATTGAAAAAAAAACTGTGCTTGCATCAATGTATTTTTTTTCGTTTAAAAGATGCCTGCCTTTGGCGAGTTTAAGGCAAGAACACATAATACTTCTGAATGGAAGGACAGGATCATATTGGGAAAGAAACACCAATAAATGCTTATATACTGCTTCTCACATTCAGAGCACTTTACAATGAGCAAAAAAGGGGAATTATATGCAGGAGGAGAAATGGCTAACAATAACCTGCACAATAAACTTTACAAGATTATAAAATCCCAAGGTGCTCCACAGGTGCCAGCAAAATTGAAACTGAGCCATACTAGGTCAGATGACCAGAAGCTTGGTCACGGAGGTCGATTTAACGGTGCGCCTATAAGAATTTGTTAGAGACAGATAGGTTTAAGGAGGTAACTGCTGAACTTAGGGCCTTGGCAATTGAAGAGAAGGTCACCCAATGGTGGAGACATTAAATTCAGGGACATTGAAGGAGGCTAGAATTGGAAGGCTGCAGATATTTCACAGGATGAAGTTTGAATAGGTTTGGTGCAAAGAGGAATATGCAACATGATTAGGAGAAGAAAAGAGACAGCTTTTGCGTTTTTTGAAAGCATGGAGAGGTGTTAGTTGGAGCAGTTGGTTGGAAGGGGAGGATGTGGGCAGAGGGTGATAAAGGGAAGAGGTAGCGTGTTTGGGAAACACTGCAGATAAAGATTTAATTAGTTTCTACAGTACACTCTGAAGGCAGTGCACATTGCAGCTATGATTTACTGATGGCAATGGGAATGGATGTTTAAGCCAATGATATGTCCATCAAGTGGAATGCTTTCTCTGGGATAACGTCAGTGACCTGGATAATTGCAGTTCAGACAAACTCAAAATCAGACTCTTGTCTTAGCCCTTGTGTAGACAGCCAGAGGGCCAGGAAATGAGGCATATGCTACAGGATTCCAGCCATTGACCAACTCTAGCCAGGGCAATTGTATGGTGGTCCATTTCAACGGTTAACACCCAGTATATTTTAGCTGTAGGACTTGGGATGATGAAAAGAACACAGAATTCTAAGGTAAGGTTCATATATTCTCATTTGTTCGAGATAGCCATTTCTTGGCATTTGTGCAGGATGATTATTATTTGGAACTTGCCATTAAAGCCAGCAAAGCCTCAGATTCCAAATGTTAGTCAAAAATATTAAAAACTTAATGTTGAGGACATGAATAGATTGTCTTAAATTTAAAAGCAACAATTTAGATGTCCGGGAGAAATTAACATAGCCTTATTGGTGGTAACGGCAGCAGCAGTAATAATAATAGTAGTACAACTTGCCTTTACATAGCACCATTCACAACTTCAGGATGCCCTAAAGGTCTTCACAGCTAATTAAGTACAATGTGTGGATTAATGAACAAAGCAGTTTAACGGAAGTGGCATCTATACAGCAATACGCACTTCCATCTATCAGTCTTCTTTAAGGTTCTTGAGTAGATCTGTAGCTTGGGTCGTGGATGCTGTGGTTAGTTTGCTCATGAGCTTGGCGAGTGAACCAACCACAGTATCAGTTTTCTTTTCAAATAGTTAGTTGGTTGTATTCAATTCTGTTTCCAGCAAAATGAAGGAATCAGCTGACAAAAATGTCTATATTAAACAAACAAATGGGGAAAACCCCCTCTGAGAAATGTAACATTTAACTCTAACTAGCTACAAGGAAGAGAGGAAACTTTTGGAAAATTTAATGACAATATTTCTCAGATTGGTCATTATGAAAACATGTGCAAATTTCCTTTTTCTATTTTATTACTTGTGATGGCACATTAAACCATTACAACACTGCAATACCATGCTGTATACTTCTTTTGTCTTTCCAAAAACGAAAGATGACACTTAAAGTTTTAGCAAATACTTGTAGCTCGGATTGTGCAGGAGGTTGTTGACTTGCTCGCCGAGCTGGCTTGTTTTCGTTCAGACGTTTCGTCACTGTGCTAGGTGACATCATCAGTGAGGTCTCCGATGATGCAATGTCATTCTACTCCGCTTGGAAGTTATACTGTCTGGTCCGTTATGGTGAGTAGTGTCATTTCTGGTTTTAATCTGTATGGGTTTGTATATGGGGTCCAATTCTATATGTTTGGTCTCCACCCGTAATGCAATCAACAAACATATAGAATTGGACCCCATATACAAACCCATACAGATCAAAACCGGAAATGACACTACTCACCATAACGGACCAGACAGTATAAATTCCAAGTGGAGTAGAATGACATTGCATCATCTGAGGCCTCACTGATGATGTCACCTAGCACGGTGACAAAATGTCTGAACAAAAACTGTGCCGCTAGGCGAGCAAGTCAACAACCTCACAAAAGATGGCACTATTGATCAAATTATGTTTAACCATTAATTCTTGCATGTTGTTGTTATTTTCAGTACTTCAGACTGTAAGCTGACTATAAAAATGTATACAGTACTAGAATTTGGATTCAGTTCCCAACAAGCTGAGAAAATTGCAGATATGAAACTCCAGAATCAGGAGTCTGCATTTCTAGAATAGAATCTGTTGTGATTCTATTGAAATAAAATTGCAGTTTCAGTTAAATTTTAAGCTTGGGGAAAGGATGCCCCCTTGTGGGTTCATAAGAGCCCAATCAATTTTTAAAAAGTCTCATTGGATGGTACAAATTCCCAGGTACTTGTTACAAGGGAGAAACAGACATATATGGGGTGGGGAGGGGGCAGCACTTCAGAAGTTGACATTTATATTTAGTCACCTCGGGACCTTCAATTACAGAATAGAAGAAAGTCATTCTCGATCTTGAAGAGGTTCCTAACTGGAAGATGACTGCAGGGTGTTATATAGTGCACTGCTAAACACGGTTACAGAAAATCAACATTTGAGGAGGAATTTTTCTCCGAGTGGTGAATCTGTGGAATTCTTTACTATAGAAGACTGTGGAGGCTGGATCATGAAGTATATTCAAGGCTGAGACACACAGATTTCTAATAATTAAGGGAATCAAGGGTTATGGGGTAAGGCAGGAAAGTGGAGTTAAGGATTATCAGAGATAGTAGGAACTGCAGATGCTGGAGAATCTGAGATAACAAGGTGTAGCGCTGGATGAACACAGCAGGCCAAGCAGCATCATAGGAGCAGGAAGGCTGACGTTTCGGGTCTAGACCCTTCATCAGATTATCAGATCAGCTATGACCTCTTTGAACAGCAGATGGGCCAAATGGCCTTCCTCTGCTTGTTTGTCTTATGCAGCCTACATTTATATGTTATACACCATAGCCTGCAATTATACACACTAACACAATAAAGCCTAGCAAGTTGCTCCACAGGAAAATTATTAGATTACATTAGTCACTGAGCTGGTGTGATCAGACCTTTGGACAAAAGAGTAGGTTTTTAAGGAGCATCTTAAAGGAGAGACAGCTATAGAAGTAGGGTGTTTAATGGAGGCAACTCCAATGGTTAGGGTGTGAGTTCATACCTTTGTTACTGTAGTCATCAATCATAACTATTTCTGCTAGATACTTTTTGGGTGTCCTCTTGATCACACTGTGGACAGTTCTCATAAGGGTTGACCATCCTTCATTATGGAAGACAATGATAACACTAGATGTGAGGAGACGATCGTCATAATGCCAATGCTTGCACCTGGCAAGAGCAAAACAGAAATTAGACACCTGTGGTATACAGTTTCTCAATATTTACTGAGAATATAATACAGAAACTAATGAAGAATTACTGTGCACCAACCATTTCCATTTTCATACTTTTCCCAATTTGTTCCCCCACCCAGAGCTGGATTTTACGTTTCTTGACCGGGTACATGAGGTGTACCAGAAACTCTCCTCACTCTGCTGTCCAATTAGCAGCCATCTGGTTGGAAGTGGTGTAAAAACTCTTCTGTTTACTCCCTTCCAACTTAGCAGCTACCATCAGATCCAATACTTTCACATGTCCGCTTTCAGATGCCAGAATATTGTCAGCTCATTACTTTAAAAACAGTGAAAGTTTTGTTGCAGTCGCATTCACAAAGGAAATAAATCACATCTTGGGATGAATACTTGTGAGTTTAGAGAAACAGTGATGCAACTGGGGTGTCCATGCTCAATTAGCACAGTAGGCCCAGGATGTCATGTGACAGAGGGGTAATGCTGCAGCCACAGATGGATTTGCAAATTCCCTGGTCTTAGAGCATTTTTTGTTACTATTGATTGAAGGTGCAAGGAGGTTAAAACGTTATTACATACAGATCACCACCTTCTCCAGCAGAATCCGCTGGCACATTCAACCAGGTCCTGGTGGGTGGCATTTTTCTTTTTTAAACCATTCTCATGCCACATCTTTACAGGTGCAAAGCGAGCACCTTCTTTTAAATTCAATGCCTGATAAATGGAGCAAGCAATGAAAAATTGCAGATGGTTGGGTTGCTCCTTTGTGTTATTGAGAACTAGCACTATATCATCTGGTTGCCAAGCTGCCAACATCATCTGAACTTTTTTATCAAAACATCTGATTTAGGAATATTGATTTACTCCGTTAATTCCTTCTTGGAGATAGTTCTGTTATCCAATATACAAGGACACAAAATAAAAGTGTCATAGGCCATTCAGCCTGCCTCACCATTCGACAAGATCATGGCTGATCTGACCTCTGTCTCACCTTCTCTTTCATGCCAGTTCGTCATGGCACTCAATTCCCCAAAATAACATAAATCTTTCTACCTCCTATTTAAATACTTTCAGCAATCTAGCCTCCACAACTATCTGGGTTAGAGACTTGCAGACATTGGTGATACAGTGGACAGCAAAGAAGGTTAGTCAAGATTACAATGGGATCAACTGGGCCAATGGGCTGAGGCGTGGTAGGTAGTGTTTAATTTGGATAAATGGGAGGTATTGCATTTTGCGTATTCACATGTAGGCAGGGTGGCTATGGAATCCACGGTAGACAAATAGGAGGCTGAAAGAACACAGCAAGCCAGGCAGCATCCGATGTCAATGTTTCGTGTATTACCCTTCTTCAGGACTGGATGTAGAGGTAGGGGGAGCTGCAGATAAAGGCGGTGTGGGGGTACAAGAATGGCAGTGATAGGTGGGCACCAGTAGTAGGTATGACCTGGTTGGTCTATGGGAGGGATGAATCTGGTTGGTAGATAGAAGGGAGGGTTAGTACGTGGAATGGAAGGGAAGAGGTGGGGCTGGAAAGGGAGCTGGGGGTTGGGTGGGAAGGTTACTTGAAATTAGAGAACTCAATCTGGAGTCCTCTGGGCTGTAGGGTGCCGAGGCAGAAGACAAGCTGCTGTTCCTCAAATTTGCACTCTGAGTCGCTGCGACACTGGAGGAGGCCAAGGATGGACATGTCGGAAGGGGAGTGGAGGGTAGGAAATGGGCAGTGACCGGGAGGTAAGGCTGGCTTTTCCGGGCCAGGTGAAGATGCTCAGCGAAATGATCACCTAGCGCACGTTTGATCTCACCAATGTAGAGAAGACTACAGTGGGAGCACCGGATGCAGTAGTCTAGGTTAGAGGAGATGCAAATAAAGCACCGTCTCACCTGGAAGGACTGTTTAGGGCTTGACTGGAGGTGAGGGAGGTGGTGTATGGGCAGGCGTTGCATCTTTTATGGTTACAGGGAAAGGTACGGGGGTTGGGGGAGAAGTGTTGTATGAGCTAAGGAGTGGCGAAAAAAATGGTTCTTGCAGAAGGGCAGAGACGGGTGGGGAGTGGAAGATGTTCCAGGTGGTGAGGTCTAATTGGGAGTTGGCAGAAGTGTTAGAGGATGATACGTTGGATGTGGAGGCTGGTGGGGTGGAAAGTGAGGACAAGGGGGACCCCATCTTTATTGTTTGGAGGAAAGGGTGGTTTAAAGCTGTGGAGTAAGGGATGGGGGGGCTGTCTGGATGACAGAGGAGGGGGAAAAAGAACATGGTTTGAAAAAGGAGGACATCCAAGATGTTTGGGAGTGGAACGTCTCCTTATCAGAGCAGATGCAATGGAGATGGAGGAATTAGGAAAACGGGATAGAGTTTTCGCATGATACCAGGTAGGAAGAGGTGTAGTCTAGGTAGTCTACGGGAGTCTAAGGGTTTACACTAAATGTCAGTCCGTAAACTGTCACCAGAAATGGAAACGGACAGGTCATGAAACGGGAGGGAGGTGCCTGAGATAGACCAAGTGAATTTGAGGGTGGGTGGAAGTTGTTAGTGAAGTTGATGAATTGCTCCAGTTCAGCCTGGGTACAGGATGCAGCACTGATGCAGTTGTCGATGTAATGGCGGAAGATTTGGGGAACAGTACTGGTGTACGTACTGAAGAGGGAATGTTTGACATAACCAACAAAGAGGCAGGCGTAACTGGGGCCCATGCAAGTGCCCATGGCAACCTCCTGGATTTGGAGGAAAAGTTAGAGGGTGAGGACTAGTTTGGCGAGGCAGAGGAGGGTATTGGTGGGGTGGGGGCGAATGAATGGATCCGCTGGAGATAAAATACTGAGGGCCTGTAGGCTATCCTTGTGAGATATGGATGTGTATAGGAATTGCACATTCTTAGTAAAGATGAAGCGCTGGGGGCCATGGAACTGGAAGTTACCAAACAGGTGGAGCACGTGGTTTATGTCCCGGATGTAGGTGGGGAGTGCCTGGACCAAGAGGGAGAGAATGGAGTTGAGGTAGAAACAGATCAGTTTGGTGGGGCAAGAGCATGCAGAGACGATGGGATGGTTGGGGTAGTTGGGCTTGTGGATCAGGTGGAGCCAGGCAGTGCGGGGCTGGGGGATTATAAAGGCTGGAGGCAGTGGAGGGAAGGTCACCAGAAGTGATGAGGTCACAGACAGCGTGTGAGATGGTGGCTTGATGGGCCATGGTGGGGTCGTGATCAAGGGGGAGGTAAGACGTAGTGTTGGAGAGTTGGCTTTCAGCCTCTGCGACATAGAGGTCCGTCCTCCAAACTACCATTGCCCCATCTTTGTCAGTGGGGTTGATAGTGAAAAAGATTGGTACGGACAGAGTGGAGCAGGGGAGAGGTTGAAGTGGGTGAGGGAAGTGCAGAAGTCAAAGCTGTCGATGTTGCGTTGGCAGTTAGCAATGAAAAGTTCTAGAGTGGGTAAGACGCCAGTAGAGGGTGTCCAAGAGGAGGAGGTAGGTTGGAGGGGGAAAGAAGGGATCCCTGGACGGTGATTGGGAATCTTGATCAAAGGCGGCAGCAGGGAGGTGGAGGCAGTGGAAGAGGAGCTCCATGTCATGGCACGCACAGAACTCCTTGTGTTGGGGGCGGAGTGGCATGATTGCAAACCCTTTACTGAGAGCAGACTGATCGGCGTCAGAGTGTTTGAGGTCGCGGGCGGGGTTGTCTCGAGGAGGCTGAAGGAGGGGTGAAGGGAATCACGTGATGGGTGAGGGTTGGATGCTGTGTGGTGGTGGTGGTGGTGGTGGTGGAGTAGTTGTGGGAGGGAAAGGAGAGTGGGAAGGTAGTGGGCAGAGGTGTGGATGGGGGGAGGGGTCTGGGAGAGATAAGGGTAGAGATAAGGGAGGAGCGAAGCATCCATGTTGCTTTATCATCAACTATGTTGGGAAACAGTAAAAATCAAAAAAGGAAAGCAAGCAATAACCAGAAAAAGAAAATCACACGGCATAAATAGAAAGAACAGAAGGAGTGAGAGAAATGAAATGAACTTATAAAATTTAAATTCCTGTGCACCTCAAAAAATAAGAACACAAATCTGCTTTTCCTATTTCCTTTGATGAAAAACAACAAACCTGAATGAATCACTGACACAGTAGGAGGGGCTTTGGTTAGCTATAATCTTGTTATTCAACTAACTAGAGGCAGCAATGCCTGAATGTTTTAGTTTATTAGTACCCGATTAAATTAAATAACCAGCACTCAAATACAAAAATCTCTTTTACTTCAACTTTGAGTTCAGAACCAGCAAAAAGTTACAAACCAGAAAGTCAAAATCATTTTCTCCAGAAACACAGAACTATTTATGGTTTTAGAACTAGTATCCAGAGAAAATTAGCCCATTTTTTTTTTTTGAGTGTAACAGTTGAAATAATGATGCATAAATCACAAAAAAAATCAGCCACTCAACCAGCGCTGTCAGACTTCACTGCACTCAGCAAAATCAGATCTTTCTGTTGATATTATTTTGCCTGCAGCTAGAATTGTAAGATTTTAAAAGCTGCATATTCTTGCCACTGTTTCCATAAGATTACAAGAGGTAAAGATGTTTAAATAGAAATGCGAGAACTGATTGATAAACTAATCAAACTTAACAGCACAAAACCTCTCGTGTTATCTTATTGCATGTTGCAATGAGAAAATAAATTAGGGAAGATTATGAAACCCTAGTTAACATTATTAAATTTGCAGATTGGAGCTTCGAGGTAGATAAGAGCGAGTTGGTCCATTTTGGTGGATGTGTAAGGAGGCCACAAAGCCCTTGGAAGTATGCATATAAATTGGGGATTCTAAATAAGGCCTCACACCCAAAATGCATTGTCTGACCTGGGAAGTCACCTCTGGTATACTGAGGGAACTGATAAAACCTTTTTTTTGGGACAATGACTTGAAAGAAATTCAGGAATTTGTATATAACTCTTTAATCAGTTAGAAAAGATTAAACAGCCATCTTAGGTTTGTTCAACATTGC